CGCCCGTGCCCTCTGCCACATGGTAATTACACGGGCACGGGCTGGGGAAAACACGGGCATGTTCTGGGTGAGACACGGCCGTGTTCTGGTTGACCCCGCCCGTGTTTTTTAGCTGGTTCAAGCCACACATGGAGAGCCTCGGCAGTAAAAGCACGGCCAGGAACACGACCGTGTTCTGAAGGCCTCCTGCCCGTGTTTTGGCCCTGGCTCGACCAAACGACTTCCAAACGATCCGAAACTCGCGCTTGGCCTTCCCTTCGACGCCTGGGACCTAAAATAGGACAAAATAGCACAACCCGGCGTAAAATAGGCAAAAACACACAACTATGCTCCGCAAATGGATAAGAAATAGGGGTATAAAATCATGCAATTACATCGTTATCAGGACCCATGATCTTACTCTCAAAGGAACATCTATGGGCAGGCCGCCGAATGACCCATCGTGCATGGGGGAGAAGGAAAATGATTCCCAAAGAGACATGCCTGGTGATGTAGACCATGTGTGTAATAGCGGGGTTCCCCTGCCGAGGCCCATTTAATTGGGGATCGTCGGACCTCATCCCTCAACATTTTTTTATGGATTACAAAATCTTTGCTTGGAATTGTAGGGGTGCTGGTGGGCGCAGATTCATGTGCGCGTTTAGTGAATATCGAAGACGTTTCTCTCCTCATATCGTAATCATTGTTGAACCAAAAAATAGTGGTGATACATCCTTAAGCGTTATTCGTTCTATGGGCTTCGACCACGAGCTCGTGGTTGACGCAGTTGGTTATTCCGGGGGGATATGGCTCTTATGGAACTCTTCGGAACTGGATGTGGCATTAGAGCAAGCACATACCCAATTTATTCACGTGAAGGTGAGGGAGATCCATTCTCAGGACAACTCCTGGTTCCTGACGGCGGTTTATGGGAGTCCGGCACCCATGCAACGACGTCAGTTATGGGCAGAAATTGAGAAGATAACTGAAGACCAGCAAGCTCCTTGGGTATTGGTTGGGGACTTCAATTCCATCCTTCACCCATCAGAGAAGGCTGGAGGAGCCACGTTTGATGCTTCCAGGATTCGAGATTTTCAGGATTGTGTTAACAACTCGAGATTGATCGATTTGGGATACGTGGGGTCGCCATATACCTGGTTTCGTAGTGGATTGGGAGAGAGGTTGGATAGGGGGCTAGCTAATGACTGTTGGCTTACTTCATTCCCGGATATGATGGTGGTGCATCTCCCCCAGATTAAATCCGATCACCGGCCGGTTCTTATTCGTACGTCGGCTAATATTTTACCCGCTAGCCCAAAACCATTTCGGTTTATGGATGCGTGGTTAACCCATGAGGACTTCAATCGCATGGCCACTTCTGCTTGGGAACGAGGCTCGACGTTTAGTGAGTCGGCTAATTCGTTTGCTAGGGAGGCCAAGGATTGGAATAGAACAATTTTTGGCAACATCCAAAGAAGGAAGGGTACTTTGCTGCGTAAAATTGAGAGATGGGAGCTACAGGATGGTGATGGCAGCCGATCACCTAGGCTTGAACAAGCTCGCGAGGAGCTTGAGAATTTGTTTTTTCAGGAGGAGATTACTTGGTGCCAGAAATCTCGCCTAGACTGGATCTTTTTGGGAGATTGCAACACTAAACTCTTTCACACTAGGACCCTCATGCGTCGTAAAAGGAATAGAATATTAGCCCTTAAAGGGGTTGACGGAATGTGGATAGAAGATCAGATTTTGCTTCAAGACCTTGCGCGCAATTTCTTCTTGGCTCTCTATATGGATGAGGGTGGGGAGAGTCAACCCATGGGCCATGGGTTTCCTAACATTGAGCACCATCGGTGGCAGCATGTTGGCACAATGCCCACGCAGGAAGAGATCAAAGCAGCTATTAGAAGCATGGGAGCTTTGAAGGCTCCAGGAACTGATGGGTTGAACCCGCTATTTTTCCAGCATTGCTGGGAATTTGTAGGAGACTCTGTCACTCAACTAATACAGGCTTGCTGGGGGGAACCAGGAAAGATCAAGAGTATCAATTTTACCATTCTGGTTCTAATTCCCAAGGTCCCTTCACCAACCCTCATCGAACAGTTCCGTCCTATCAGCCTCTGTAATGTGGCCTATAAGGCTCTTACTAAGTGCCTAGTAGAGAAACTTAAACTCCTAATGCCGACTTTAGTCCATGAGACGCAGACTAGCTTCGTCCCAGGGCGGCATATCACTGATAACATCTGTATTTTGCAGGAAGTGGTTCACTCTATGAGAGCCAAGAAAGGCAGGAAGGGTTGGATGACTGTGAAGGTGGATTTTGCCAAAGCCTACGATCGAATACGATGGGACTTTGTTAGGGACACTCTCCAGGCTATCGGAGCTCCAACTGCTTTCATTGATGTCACCATGGCCTGCATTTCCACTGCGACAATGCAGATTCAATGGAATGGGGGGTTGTCCGAGCCCTTTTTTTCCGTCTCGAGGTCTTCGTCAATGGTGCCCCCTATCTCCTTACCTATTCACTCTGTGTATGGAGCGCCTCGGTCATCTTATCACGGATTCAATAGGGGAAGGGAATTGGCACCTGATCAAGCTTACAGGGAGAGGTCCCGTCTTATCTCACCTCTTTTTTGCAGATGATCTCATTCTTTTCGGAGAAGCCACGATGGAGCAGATTGCAACTATTAACCACCGCTTCTCCCAGTTTAGTGCCTTGTCGGGACAACAGATTAATAAGCAGAAGTCGAGAGTCTTTTTCTCGGCAAATGTTACTATAGATCAGCGTAACAGTTTGAGTGCAGCCTTGGCAATTCCTCAAACAACTAATCTGGGGCACTATCTTGTAGTTCCAGTTATCCATGACAGGGTATCGAAGTCCACATTTGCTGACTTGATTGACCACATTGACTCTCGTTTTGCAGGATGGAAGGCCAACTCTCTATCCCTAGCAGGTCGGATTACTCTTGCTCAAGCAGTGCTCTCCTCCTTACCTGCCTACACTATGCAGACTACAATTTTACCAGCTATATTGCGAGATTATATCGACCGAAAGATTCGTGGCTTCATCTGGGGAAGTACAGAAAATGGGAGGAAGGTTCATCTTGTGGACTGGGAAACCTTATGCAGGCCAAAGGAAGAAGGCGGGTTGGGGTTGAGAGACGCCACTCGGATGAACAAGGCGTTCATGCTCAAGATAGCTTGGAGAATGATTTCGAACCCGGAAGAGCTCTGGGCATGAGTCCTGGCTGCAAAGTACCTCCGACATCATGAGGGTCAGCTTACACCTCGAAGTCAGGGACGGTTATCCAACCTTTGGATAGGTGTGTTGTGGGTTTGGCACCTTGTCGACGAGGCCTCATTTTGGAACGTAAGGAATGGCAAAAAAAGCAAAGTTTTGAGAAGATAGGTGGCTAATTGATGGAGAACCGTTGCGGTTTTTTGCTCCAAACCTGCTGAACGAAACCTCGGAGCTTCAGGTGGCAGATTTTGTGTTAAATGGAGAATGGAATTTCCAATACTTGTCCCACTTCCTCCCAGAGGACATTATTTCACAAATTCGCCTCCACCCGGTTCCATGTGCCCAGGAGGATGATGTTAGGTGCTGGAGACTGAATGCAAATGGGAAATTCTCTACTAAAACAACTTATGAGCTTACCGATGCAGGTTATAGTGACAATCCTTCCCACTTCATATGGCGTTCGATTTGGAGGGTCAAGGCCATGCAAAAAGTGAGGACATTCATGTGGCAGGCAACCCACGAACGTCTACTCACTAATGCCGAGAGAGAAAGAAGACACCTGACGCAAAATGCTTACTGCAGGATCTGTGGTGGTGGGCCGGAAACTGTCGTCCATATCCTCCGAGATTGTCCGTTTGCTCGAGCTACTTGGGCGGGGATTCTAAGGAGTCGGATGATCGGTTTTTTGGGTAGCCTTTACAAGCTTGGATTCATTATTATTGTTCTGGTCGAGGAGCAGTTGTTGACGAATCTCTTTTAGCTGGGACCTGCTGGTTATTATGGAGGAACAGGAACGAATGGATCTTCCGAGGGGAGCTGAGTACCACCGACCAGCTACAATTCCGGGCCGCTCAACTCCAACAACAAATTAAGGCAACATTTAATAACAAAAGAAGCTTGTTTGGGGGCTCAGGCCAACAAGAGCTGAGAATGATCAGTTGGAAACCGCCACAACAGGGATAGACGTGTATCTCCACGGATGGTTTAGTTGTCCTCTCGCATTCGAGTACTGCAGCGGGGGGAATCCTTCGAAGCAACAGTGACAGGTTTATCAAAGCTTTTGCCGTGAACTTGGGAGGGGGTACTATCACAAGGGCAGAGCTAGTAGGAATCGAGCAAGGTTTGAAGTTAGCCTGGGATCTTGGAGTAAGGAAGGTCCTCGTTCAAAGTGACTCTACAACATCAATTGATCTCATTGAGGCGGCCTCGCAACATAATCCTCATTATAGACACATTGTCGAGATTAGACAATGGCTGAGTCGGGACTGGCAGGTCAAGTTGGAGCATATCTTTCGGGAAGCCAATCATACCGCCGACTATTTGGCTTCTCTAGGGCACTCTCTTCCTGTAGGCCTTCATGTGTTCGACGTGCCTTCGAGCATGCTAGCTCATTGGTTGTACTTTGACAGTATTGGGGTCCAAACCCCGCGTTACCTTAATACTTAAAGGTCGGGACGCCCTTAGCGCTCCGTTTTCCCACAAAAAAAAAGATATTGTATTGACTGGTAGCGGCACGGCACGACACACCCCATACGTATGGACGTCATCAGATCATATACGCCGCCTTTGTTCGTCCACTGGGCCGTCCTTGGTTTTCTTTCTTAGACGCCTAGCGTCTTTTATCTATGGGCTTCTCTCTCGTGTCGTAACAAATTATACGGGGCCGCTGGCCAATCTTGCTTGTGAAACCGTAGGTTTGCTAAAAGGCCCAAGTAAAAGCCCAAAGTGAAAGGACTGCGAAACAGATTATAAAAAAGAAACAGACAGCGGCTAGGTTTTCCTTCTCTCTGCTCCAAGGCGATAAAGCGATACTGTGCGACTTCGAGATTATAGCTCTTCCGCCGTTGCCACATCTAATCGCCGACGATCTGTTCTCATCTGCTGCTTAACAATGGTTCGTTCTCCTTCAACTTTGCTTCTATCCATCCCGTTTCGACTCCATTTCGAGTGTACTTTTTCCTGTTGTATTTGCCCATAAAGAAAATATATATATAGGGTGATTAATGTTTTTTGATCGGGGTTTCTGTTTTGGCAGATCATCTCGGAGAAAAACCGTCGCGAGATTTCCAAGTACCTCTTCCAAGGTCCGGCACTACTCCCTCGTCTCTCTCGGCTCCCGTCTTTCGCCCCTGGATTTGTGTTTTTTCTGAATGGCTATTCGATTTTGTGCAGAGGGAGTCTGCTTTGCGAAGAAGGATTTCAATCTGGCGAAGCACCCAGAAATCGATGTTCCAAATCTGCAGGTGATTAAGCTCATGCAGAGCTTCAAATCCAAGGAGTACGTCCGCGAGACCTTCGCCTGGATGCACTATTACTGGTACCTCACCAACGAAGGAATTGAGTTCCTGCGTACATACCTCAATCTGCCTTCGGAGATCGTCCCTGCTACCTTGAAGAAGCAGGCTAGGCCAGCGGGCAGGCCATTCGGAGGCCCACCTGGTGACCGCCCACGGTAATGATCCTATTCCGTTTTCAATTTCAGCGTATTGGATTGTGAATATGCACAAGTAGAAGTGTCTTAATGGTGGGGATTTTCCTGTTGTGCAATGTGGTAATTGCTCTGTTCGATTTTCTGTGAATTAGTGGCCCTGGCCGTTTTGACGGGGAGAGGAGGTTCGGTGGCGATAGGGATGGTTACCGTGCTGGACCAAGGGCGCCTGGTGGTGATTTTGGTGACAAGGGTGGAGCTCCTGCTGATTACAGACCAACATATGGGGTGAGCATTTCTAGCTCTGCTATAAAAATTATGATTTTCCTTCATAATTATCATCCTGCTGTCATTCCATGGAATGTGGTTGGAACAACTTGGTAGTAAGAGAATGGAATTCCCTGTTTAGTTGGATTATGATCATGTTGGTCTTAGTGTGTGGTTTGAAGATCAAGGCGTCCTATCTCAGCGTTCTTAGTTTCGAGCTTTGAGTATGAACTATGGTTAATTCAGCCTCCCACTATGGATTTTGTTTTGTGTTTTGAGAATAGAACTCTCTTAGGAGTATTTTCTAAAGCTATTACAACGGAGTGATATGTTAATATTAGTTTCACTACTCCACTTTAGATAACCTTGATTTCCTTTTCTTTCGTGATATTCATTCGCAACCTGTTTTGCCTTGAATTGGTTTTTGTTCGTTGAATCCCTCTTAAGTCTAACTCTATCAACTTGCAGGGTGGCTCTTCTGGTCCGAGGACAGGATTTGGCCGTGGTGCTGGAAGCTATGGCGGTGGAGCTGGTGCCGGTGCTAGCTCAAATCTTCCTTGAAGTGTTTCTTGAGATACTAGCGTTTTCGTTTCAGAGTTGCCTATGTGTGAGGGACTGAGTGATTTTTGTTTCAATTTTCAGAGGCTCTTGCTTGAATAGTTTGTAGTCCTGAATTAATCATACATGTTGAATGCTCGTGGTAATCAAAGTTCATGATGATTGTTTGCTTTCTCATCAGACGAAGGTTCAACAAGAAAGCCCCTCCACTTTTTTTGGTTGTAGTAAATTGCAGGGCTCAATCGTGTTCTTGTTCGTCATCTAGATTTGTTCACGCAGGCGAGTCATGTAAATTTTCAACCCAATTTGGCCCAATATCGAGCCCAGTAAGATAGTTACATAAACCTGTAAGCCCGGCCAGGGACAGCTAGATTCCCAAATCCCTGATCAGCTCACCCGGTTTGAATTCTCATTTCTCGGCCAATGGTGCTGCTGACTGTTGAGACTTGAGAGCAGCCAATTAGACGACTACGCGGTTGTTTAAAAAGTAGCAATTCTTTTCAATACAAACTTTTATTTGAAAATTCAAAATATATTTCTCTGGCCTTCTCTAAAACAAATTTGTCGGTTCATCTCCATCTTCATTTCACGGGTATTCACCCACTCGCTCAAAGTTAGAAAAGAGAGACGCAAGCAAGGAAGGAAAAGCTTCCGCGTCTTTAATTGGGGAGGTTGGCCGTTGGACGAGTGTCGACTTCGGACTCTTTCTTCCTCTCTCTCTCTCTCTCTCGGCAAATCCTCTGCTCTGTTTAGGTCTGCGACGAAGGAAATCCCTGGGTCGAGCAAGCTTGCTGAAGGCGGAAAGTATGGTTTCCAATGGAAGCAAAGACTCGAGCTCCACTTCCGCAACGGCTGCCAAGGGCGGAGGCGGAAGCGGCGGCAAGATAAAGGGAGTTCCGACTCACGGCGGTCGTTACGTGCAGTATAATGTCCATGGGAACTTGTTTGAAGTTTCTAGCAAGTACGTTCCTCCCATTCGACCAATCGGCCGTGGCGCTTATGGCATTGTCTGGTAAATTTTCCTGTCTCTCTTCTTACTCGTTTCTGGGGTTTCTTGCTTTGAATTGGTTAGGTGTTTCTTGGTTTTGATCGGGGGTTTCTACTTCTGGGCGCCTAAACTTCTCTTCATTTGAATGAAGAGCCAACTTCGCCGTTTTATGGGATTGAGCATATGGTTTTGATCGTTGATCCATGATGGGTTATGGCTGGTTTGTTTGGAGTTCGTCTCGCTGGCTGCTGTGCTGATGAATTCGCAGGCGAAAGTGGATCTAGTTATTGACAGATTCAGAAATGGAATCTGAATGAACTAGAACTGGTGTTATCTAGAGTATATTCTGGTTCTGTTTAGTACTTGGGGTCTCTTAATTGTAAATGGAATTTGTTATTTAGATTGGCATTTTATGGCTAGAAAGAATAAAGTCATGAATTCCCAGGAATTGAATAATGACTACTGATTGAAGATGATGACTATTTTATGTGTATAATATAAGAAGTGGACTAGAGAATTAATCTTCGTTTCTCAAATACTTCATTTCAAAACTGCATTTTTGGATGGAGACATATGGATAGGTTCAAGTCTTCAAGAGTCAAATCATGGATCATAGTCACACGGCCTTGCTTAAGAATATGCTTTTTTGTATGCTCTTTGGATGTGATTATTGCTATCCCTTTCTCACGATAGCATGTGTTAGCTTCAGTTGTCTTCTTTCTTCCTGTTTTTAGTCTCTGATTACGCAAGGAACCCCTGTGTTGGTTTAGAGCTTTGTATAATAAACTTCGATGGCAACTTTGTTCAGCGCTGCTGTGAACTCCGAGACACAAGAGGAAGTGGCAATAAAGAAAATTGGGAATGCATTTGACAACAGAATTGATGCGAAAAGGACGTTGAGAGAGATTAAGCTTCTACGCCATATGGACCATGAAAATGTACTTTTAGCTTTTTCATTTTTCACCATCTATTTCAGCTTGGAAGCTTATGATACATTTCCATGAACTGTAGCTTACTGTCATAGAAGCAATTATTCGTTTCTTTTCATTTGACTTGGAGCCAGGAGTAGTTATCTAGTCATTTCCATTGCAGGTAATTGCCATCAGGGACATTATTCGACCACCGAAGAAGGAGGCATTCAATGATGTCTACATAGTTTATGAATTGATGGATACTGACCTCCATCAGATCATTCGTTCTGAACAAGCATTGACTGATGACCACTGCCAGGTTAGATGACAAGAACTATGTTTGTGACTTTGTACCATATTACATGTTGTTTCAAGTCTAGAAGCTTGCTGGAGGGCTTATTGCTGCTTACCTATAGCTTGGTCCCTCTATAGACTTTAGAATGGGGAACTCAAATATCTTTGGTGTTTTTTTTTTTTTTTTTTTGCTGTTGACTACTGTAAGTTTAAAATATCCAATTAATTGAAATGCTGAACTGCTAGCTATGGTCTTTCTAGGTAGAATGTTCGATGACAAGCTCCATCATAAATATTGAGTTAAAGCAGGAAAACTAATAGATTCTTACTTAACCTTTTTCACAGTACTTCTTGTATCAACTGCTTCGAGGGTTGAGATATGTGCATTCCGCCAATGTCCTGCATCGAGATCTTAAACCCAGCAATTTGCTTCTGAATGCAAATTGTGACCTTAAAATTGGAGATTTTGGGCTAGCAAGAACAACTTCCGAGACAGATTTTATGACCGAGTATGTTGTCACTCGTTGGTATCGAGCACCAGAGTTGCTCCTTAATTGTTCAGAGTACACTGCTGCAATAGATATTTGGTCTGTTGGTTGCATCCTTGGTGAAATTATGACTCGGGAACCCCTATTTCCTGGAAAGGATTATGTTCATCAACTGAGGCTTATTACAGAGGTATGGCTTGCCAGGACTCTGTTCAGTTAAATCTCTTCATCTGTTTGGTTTCCTTTGGGAACAACCCCTACGTTTGACTCTACCTTAAAGCTTATGTATAGGTGCTGGACTTCTGATTAACATGGTTTATATTAAGGGAACGAATGATACAAAATTCATATTTGGGCCTCTCTCAACAACCCAAGTTTGGGTCGTCTCGACAGCTTACGCGTCTCATGACGAGAGCTTGCATCATTTATACTACTTCAAATAAAGAACGTACTTATCCTTAATTATTTCAGATGTTATGAAAGAATTTGTTTCATGTACCAAGTCTTAAGAATGGAAAGACCTCCCTTGATATGTGGGATCTTCGTGGTTATGAAATATGAAGTCTGGGACACGATTCATCCATCATTGAGTTCTTGTTTTTTGACTTCTTACATCTCCTTTTTGTTTTTACTTTTTACCTTATAAAAGCTAATAGGTTCGCCGGATGATGCTAGCCTTGGTTTCCTTAGAAGTGACAATGCGAGAAGATATGTTAGACAGCTTCCACAGTTCAGAAAACAGAACTTCTCCATGAGGTTCCCCAATATGTCTTCTGGTGCTGTCGATCTGCTAGAAAAGATGCTTGTATTTGATCCCAACAAACGCATTACAGGTACTTGGAATTGAATCTGAGGCAGCACTATATGAACCAGTTGCTGGTAGTTTACTTATATATATATGCATGTTTCTGCAATTGCAGTTGATGATGCACTTTGCCACCCATACTTGTCACCCCTCCATGATATCAATGATGAACCGATCTGCTCTGCACCATTCCACTTCGATTTTGAGCACCCGTCATGCACCGAAGAGCATATTAAGGAGCTCATATGGAGGGAGGCAGTGAAGTTTAATCCAGATACCCAACACTAGAAGAAGAAGAAGAATGTGCTGTTGAAGAAGCGAAATGTTGAGAAATGAGAAGAAACCTTCTTCCCGGAAATGTATCAGCCTGCTATGATCATCACATCCTGAGCTCTGCAACTCTGGAAATCACCATTAGGAGGATAGTTACCACAATGTCCAAGAAATTCTATAGGGCTATAGCAGAATTAGCTGTTTGGAAACAAACCTGCTCAAGTAAACAAACGTTGAGAAGCATGGATCATATTGTAAAGAAGTTTCTGCAGATCCTTTTCATGTGTACAAGTTAGGAGTAATTTCAAGTATGTGAGCTAACAGCAATGACTGGTTGCTTATAGCGAAATAATCTATGAATCTAATACCTTAACATCATGTACTATCTGAATAAAGTTGTCACGTGATATTGAAATTGCAACTTTTTTGATTGTTTGTTTTGAACAGGTAATTGGGTTGTGCGTTATACTGATCAGGTACAGAAAGGAAAAATTGTGGATGAAAATGAACTTGAATGTGCTTCCGATTCTAGTTTTTTTTTTTTTTTTTTTTTTTTTGTCATAGATAACTTCCGATTCTAGTTGGTCTGCGTTTTTCCTTTATTCTTTGAAGTGGATTCATGAAACCAAAACCGAAGCAAGTTCTATTCAACTTCGCCCAATTTAAACCAAATTTGCAGGCCCCCTCAACAGGTATACAAATCTCTATTCATATTCTCACACTTTCTGCAGGATAATTATATACTGCAATTAGTCATATTATTGGCGGATGACAAGTTCCTGCTATTTCCTATGGTTGCCACCAATATATAATCTCCAAGTTTTAGCCTGTTGTGATTCGTGACAGGTGGGCGGGTATGTCGATACCCATATTTGTTTCGTGACAGGTTGGGTTCAGCTCCGGTAATTTATCATGTATGGGAAGCAGGTCGGGGCAGGTCGATCCAATAAGTCTGTTATGTATATGGAAAACATTAGAAATATTCGTTATTTTTATTATATGACCAAGAAACAAACTATAATATGATAAATGCCGTTAAATTATTGGAGAAATTCAGGTTACTAATTTTACAACTTTATTATAACTAAAATATGATGTAATAAAAGGAAAATTCTAAGTAATTTGACTAATATTGCACGTAAGTTAGAAAAGAATAGGCTGGAAATGGGGCGGGTCAGGGCATGTTGGGTTGATGAGAGTACCCATGCCCACCCCGCCCTAGAACAGGCCAAATAGGTTGGGTAAAAAGGGTCAGGTCGAAATTGTCATCCCTACTTAGAGGTGACAATTATGATCCGTATCCATGAATCCAATCTAATTTATACACTAAAATGTCCAACTGATCCAATTTATTTAAGTCCAATATATTTGATCCAAAGTAGATTCGTGGATTTTTTCATGAATTCAAATGACAAATTACATTTTAGTATTTATAATTTTTATGTTTTACATTTGAGTTCCTAAATTGATTTTTAGACGAAAATATCATTTTGGAAAATAACGTTTGGTACCTAAAAAAATTTTGTTATGACATTTTAGTACCTTAACTTTTCAAATTTTACGTATTAGTCCAAGACTTGGATGTCATTTGGATTCATGGATGAATCCACAATCCACTTGATTCAATCAATCAATCAATTTGATCCAATCTACTTAATCCACATATACACTTAATCCAATACTCTTCTTTGAATTTTGTTAAAAAAATGTGAATTATGCTATAGTATAAATTCTCTTCAACAGCAAAACAATAAGCGTACTATGCAGGACACACTTCATGATAGTTGTTAACTCCCTTGCGGGGTTGTGACTCCTAAGACTAAGAAGAAGTAATATCCAACACATACTAATGAACAAATAGAGTAGCACACACCCAGCCACCATTGTACTTTGCATTGGTGTCCTTTCTGTTTTTTCATATATCAAAAGAAGAAGAATTTTTTTTTTTTTTGCACATATGGCGGTTAGGTGCCGCCCCACCTCCAGTATTTATCCCTCCCTCCGTAACACAAACAGTATAGTAGCAAACAGTACCACCTCGATCTTCTCTTAACTCTCTAAACCAAATATTTATAATGGCTTCTTCTTCAGTGTTGGGACCTTTTTCAGTTCCCCTGAAACATCATAATCACTGGTCAGGCAGGATTAATAATCCAAGCTGCTGGATCAGCGCCCCCATTCGCGGAGATGCAAGCGCGCCGATCAAACACAAACAGAGCATCAGCAGGTCGCGTAATTTGGCGGCGGCAGCGGCAATTAACGAGGCAGATTCGAAGATTGTTATTAGGAGGAGGTCATCATCGTCGTCGTCATTATCCAAAGAAGGGAGATTTGCGCGCAAGGAAGCGGAGAGGCTGGCTTACCTGGTGGCTGCGCTGCTGTCCAGCGTATTAGAAATAAAGAATAACATTCTTTATTCTTCTTTTATTATTTTATTTCTTTCCACTTGTATAACCACTTCTCCACCTTCTGTAACCTCCCCTAAAATCTCTGAACCACTTCCCTGTAAAAGTGTATATAGAGAACAGAGTATCTGAATACAAATCACGATTCAATTGCTATCAACTCCTTCTATTCAAATCTCTCAATCTCAACATGGTATCAGAGCCTGCAACGGTCAGCTAGTATCGATCCAATTTCAACCTTCTTCTTCTTCCTTTTCGGCATCTTTGGCCGCTCTCTCTGTTCTCTAAACACTCTCTGTCCTTGTCAAAATGTCCTCCACAGTCGACACCGCTGCCTCTGCTGCTCTCCCAGTTATTGTTACTTTCAATCCAGCGGCGCAGCTACCTCTCAAGCTCACACCAACCAATTTTGCCTCATGGAGGTCTCAGCTCGAAACGTTACTCATGGGGCTTGATCTGTTCAGCTTCATCGATGGATCCTCTGTTGCGCCTCCTCGCACAATCATCGTCGAGGCCAGTGGCGGAGGGAGGTAAGGAGGAGAGGGGTCCTAGGACCCCACTTGGCAAATAATTGGGCAACAAAACCCTTTAAATACATAGGTTTTAGTACGATAATTCAAGTTTAGGACCCCATACTCTCAACGATGTTAGCTCACCAAGAACCCCGGTTAACTCAAAATTCATTAGGTACACAAGCATTTATGTTAGTAAAATTTTAAGGACCCCAGTGGACTCGATGTCTGGCTACGCCACTGGTCGAGGCTGCCTCTGTCACCAATCCAGCCTTCCAACACTGGTTTCGTCAAGATAAGCTCATCTTGCACGCTCTGCGTTGTTCAATCTCTGAATCTATTTATTCCTTTGTGTCTGCGGCATCGACGTCTCGCGAGGCGTGGCTGATTCTTGAAAAATTATACGCCAGTAATGCCCAATCCCGTGTTCTGCACTTGAAAACTCAGCTGGCCAAAGTCACCAAGGGTGACAATGACGTCTTGACCTTTGTGAATGACCTGAAGTGTATTGCCGCTGAACTGGCGCTGGTGGGTGCGCCGGTTTCTGATATGGACTTGGTAGTCCTCTGCCTCCGTGGTCTGGGAGAGGAGTACAACGCTTTTGCCGCGGCGGTTCGTGCTCGCGGCCCGGGACTGGTGCTAGAGGATTTGGTGGACTCCCTTGTTGAGTTTGAATCTGACCTCAAGGTGCAAGCTCGCACCTCTGTACCGACCGCCTTTTTCACCCAGCAACAGCAGCGGTCGACCGGCGGCGCCTCGTCCCACTCTCGTCATCCGCGAGGGTTTCAAGGGGCTCCCAGCTCCTCTCGCCAACAGGCCCGCGCCTCCTCACAAAGGGCTGATTATTTGGGCCCTTATTCAGGCCCCTCTCTTCGGGCCCAAAGCCCACAGCGGGCTTCCCATTATAATGGGCCTTCATCAGCAGGCCCCTCTCGCAGGCAGCCCATTATCTGTCAGTTTTGTGAAAGACAGGGCCATTCGGTACGGCAGTGCTTTAAACTTTTTCCTCAGGCCCGTCAGGATTATCAGGCTCGCCAATCTCAGGCCCATCATACCATTGCTGGTCCAGCTGCATCCTCTAGTCCATGGTTACTTGATTCAGCAGCCTCTCATCATGTCACGTCTGATTTAGGCAATTTATCACTCTATTCTGATTACACTGGCCCAGATGAGATTCAAGTTGGCGATGGCACAGGTTTGCAAATCACACATATTGGATCCACTAATCTGCGTTCCCTGCATTTACATGATGTTTTATGTGCCCCTGCCATCAAACGAAAACTCATTTCTGTTGCCAAGCTTTGTCGTACTAATCCCATTTCGGTGGAATTTTTTGCTGATTGTTTTGTTGTGAAGGATCTTCGCACGGGGGCGCCACTGCTGAAAGGGGCAAATAAAGGCGATGTTTATGAGCTGCCTAGTGATGTGGACAATGTTCGGCTTGCCCTTGTCGCCACTCGTACCACCTCTGAGTCCTGGCATGCTCGTCTTGGTCATCCCTCCACTCAAACTCTCCACAGTCTTCTTCGCTCTCATTCGTTGCCCGTATCGTCCTCCATCGTCAGTAGTCATTGTCATTCCTGTCTTTCCAATAAAAGTCATAAACTCCCATTTGCCATGTCTTCATTGACTAGTACTCGCCCATTTGATTTATTGTATACGGATGTTTGGGGACCGGCTCCGGTTCCCTCCTTTGATGGTTTTCGTTATTATCTAATAATCGTTGATCATTTTTCCCGTTATACTTGGTATTATCCCTTGAAAAATAAATCTGATGTGCTTTCTGTGTTTCTTGATTTTCGTACAATGGTTGAGAATTATTTTTCCACCACCATCCGTCGCCTTTACTCTGATGGTGGTGGTGAGTTTCAGAAACTATGCTCTACCCTTGTTCGTCATGGCATTACTCATCTTCTCACACCTCCGCATACCCCTGAGCATAATGGTCTTGCTGAGAGAAAGCATCGTCACCTTGTCGAAACTGGTATAACCCTTCTGCATCATGCAAATCTTCCTACCATGTTTTGGTCCTTTGCCTTTTCTGCTGCTGCCTATTTAATTAATCGCCTCCCATCCTCTGCACTGCGTGGCCAAATTCCTTACACAATGTTATTCAACCTTGCTCCTAATTATCATAAATTACGTGTGTTTGGTTGTCTTTGTTATCCTTGGTTACGTCCATACTCCGCTCACAAATTGGACCCTCGTTCTCGTTCGTGCATTTTTGTTGGATACTGCCCTCAACGCAGTGCCTATAAATGCCTTGATCCTACTACCCGTCGCATTTTTCTCTCCCGTCATGTCCACTTTGTTGAAAATTCCTTTCCTGGTTTTTTGGCTAACCCACCTGCAGGTTCCCCTTCCGTGGACAGTTGGTTACACGACATGGGCCCCAATATTGTCCATCTTTCACTTACTGGGCTCTCTCCATCAGCTCCCCCTTCTTCAGCGCGTGGGCCTCGGTGTGGCGGATCTGCCACAGCAGCACAGTCAGCCGTTGGGCCTGACCCCTCCCCCTGCCCCGCTGGGCCTCCTCCTCAGTTGGTCTCTCCGCCCCAGTCTGCTGGGCCTGCTGCTTCTGTACAGCCCACGCCTGCTGCCTCTGTACCGCCCACGCCTCCTCCAGCGCCTGGGCCTGCCGGCCCGTCCTCCACAGGGCTCGAGATTTCCTCGCCCCAGCCTTCCACCGCCCAGCCTGCCGCGCCTCCCCCGCTCATTCGCCCACATCGCATGACCACACGGGCCCAGGCAGGCATCTATCGGCCCAAACGCCTTTTTCCAGCTCTCCACACTTCCTTGGCTCGGCCCGTGCCTCTTGAGCCCCGCTCTGTTAAGGAGGCCATGTGCTATCCTGAATGGGATGCTGCTCTGCGCCGGGAACATACGGCCTTGCTTCAGAATCATACGTGGGATCTCGTGCCGCGCCAGCCGCATTTCAATGTTCTTGGTAATCGCTGGGTTTATCGCATCAAGCATCATTCTGATGGCTCCATTAATCTCTATAAGACGCGGCTTGTCGCTAAAGGTTTTCATCAACGTCCCGGGGTTGACTTTCACGATACTTTCAGTCCTGTGGTCAAACCGGTTACTGTTCGCACAGTCTTTACCATTGCCCTCTCTCGCGGTTGGCCAATCAGGCAGTTTGATGTTAATAATGCCTTTCTTCAAGGCCCTCTTACTGAAGAAGTCTACATGGTTCAACCCCCTGGGTTTGTTGATCCTCAGCATCCTACCCATGTTTGTCGTCTTCGTCGTGCCATATATGGTCTTCGTCAGGCTCCTCGTGCTTGGTACACTGCCCTCAGTACCTTCCTGATTGAGTTTGGCTTCCAGAAGACGCAGTCTGACGCCTCCCTATTTGTGTATCACCACTCCGGCGTTACTCTCTATTTTCTGGTCTATGTTGATGATCTTCTCCTCACTGGTAATGATGCTTCTACCATTGCTACATTTCAGCATGCTCTTGCTACCCGGTTTTCACTCAAAGACATGGGCGATGTTGATTACTTCCTGGGCATTGAGGTCATCCCTACGACCACCGGCTATGTTCTCTCTCAACACAAGTATATGGTTGATATCCTTACTCGATTTCATATGCTTGATGCTTCTCCAGTCTCTACACCGCTCGCTGCTTCGGTCACTTTGACTCTACAGGATGATCATTCTCCCACGGATGCTACTCGCTATCGCCAGGTTTTAGGCGCTTTGCAGTATCTTGTGTATACTCGTCCTGACATTGCCTTCTCTGTGAATAAGTTGTCTCAGTTTATGCACTCTCCCAGCTCCTATCACTGGCAGTGTCTTAAGCGCCTACTTCGCTATGTCTGTGGCACGCTCTCCTTTGGCCTTGCCATCAGCCGCACGAGTCTTCCCCTCCAGCTCACTGCCTTTGCTGACTCTGATTGGGCGGGTAATCTGGATGATAGGACGTCCACATCTGCATATCTCTTATACTTGGGCTCCACCCTAATCTCCTGGCGGTCTCAGAAGCAACGCACTGTTGCTCGTTCTAGCACTGAAGCTGAATATCGTGCTATTGCTCACGCTACTGCTGAAGTCGAATGGGTGCACAATCTCTTGACCGAGCTTCATCAACCCTTATCTTCCTCGCCTACCCTCTTCTCCGACAATCTTGGCGCCACGAGCTTCAGTTCTAATCCAGTGTTTCATTCCCGGATGAAGCATTTGGCTCTTGATTATCACTTCGTTCGTCAACTGGTTCAAGATGGTCGCCTCGTTGTTCGTTATATTCCCACCGCTCAGCAGCTCGCCGATGTGCTCACTAAGCCGCTCGCTGCTCCGCGCTTTCTTCTTCTCCGGTCCAAGATTGGAGTCGTTGATACGTCCTCCATCTTGCGGGGGCGTATTAGAAATAAAGAATAACATTCTTTATTCTTCTTTTATTATTTTATTTCTTTCCACTTGTATAACCACTTCTCCACCTTCTGTAACCTCCCCTAAAATCTCTGAACCACTTCCCTGTAAAAGTGTATATAGAGAACAGAGTATCTGAATACAAATCACGATTCAATTGCTATCAACTCCTTCTATTCAAATCTCTCAATCTCAACACAGCGTTGGCGTCACTTTCACGGCCGCCATGGCTGTTTTCTCCAGATTCTCTTGGCAGTTGGAGGTTACACTTACACACACTTGTTACATTCTTTACACCAATATTACTCTACTACTTTAAGTTTCATTTGACAAGGTAAAGCTCTGTTTGGTAATGCAAATATATATATGAATGCAGGGTGGGGAGTTTCCGGTGGCGGAGATGCTTGGGACCTTCGCTTTGTCCATCGGAGCTGCCGTAAGTGAACAATTATTGATTAATGATGTTAAGAATAAGTTTCATAATTTTATCTCTCTCAACTCAATAAATAATCCGAGGGAATGAGACAAAGTGGTTGTTGACGTAATATCGAAGCTTTATGTGATATTTTGATACTTGTGCAAACATGATCGAATCATTTTGAAATTGAATTGGGATCAATTATTTCTCAACGATGATCGCATCGCAAATGAAATGCAGGTGGGGATGGAGTTTTGGGCTCGGTGGGCACACAGAGCATTGTGGCACGATTCTTTATGGGACGTCCACGAGGTTAATTAAAATTAGTTAGTTAATTACGTTTGGTTTTCCATGTAAAATGTACAGATGAATGAGAGGCGGTGTCGTTTTTGGTCAGTCGCACCACAGAGCTAGAAGAGAAGGAGCATTCGAGGCGAATGACGTGTTTGCAATAACGAACGCGGTGCCGGCCATCGGGCTGCTCTCCTACGGTTTCTTCAACAAAGGCCTTCTCCCTGGTCTCTGTTTCGGCGCCGTAAGTGTCAAACAGAGGTCGTTTCACGTTTGTTTGTTTGTTAGTTTGTTTTAAGGTTTTGTTTTTTTTTTTTTTTATGTAAGACGTATCGGGTAAGAGGGTAAAAAAATTGGAGTTGACAACTTCGGGCTGGCTGCCACGTGTGTCGGTGGATGGGGTGGTGTTCGGTAGCAACTAACTAGCTATAGAATCTTTGATCTTGGGCTGGGCTGGGCTGGGCTGGGCCGTCCGTCATTCTTTTTCTTGCTGTTTGGAGTTTGGCAGGGATTGGGGATAACGGTGTTCGGGATGGCGTACATGTTCGTGCACGATGGGCTGACCCATCGACGCTTCCCAGTTGGGCCCATAGCCAACGTCCCTTACCTCCGAAGAGTTGCCGCTGCTCACCAGGTACCTAAAAATAATATTCCCATTCATTTCATTTCATCTTTACCATGCATGCTGACTCATATATTTATTTACGTCCACTAATTTAGCTGACTCAGGTCAGGTCTGCTAATTAAGTAATTAAACTCTTTTTTTTTTTTTTTTTTTTTTTTTTGTCTCTGCAAAAATGAATGAACAGCTTCATCACGCAGACAAATTCGACGGCGTTCCTTATGGGTTGTTCTTGGGGCCTGAGGTCAGCCCATCTTTCCCCACTTTAACCGAAATAGAGCTGAATCTGGGTGTTAGGTCTGACCGGATCTTGTTACGTGCAGGAACTAGCAGAGGTTGGAGGCACGGATGAGTTGGAGAAAGAAGTGCAAAGAAGGATTAAGCGCTCCGTTTGATATGTTTCTTCTCAATCATTATCTTTTTCTCTTTTACCCTTAGCTTGTACAGTCATTCTTTCTTCCACTTCGAATCAAAACTCTGTTCGATGTTTAGGCATGATGATTTATTTGAACTCCAATCTAGGAGGTAGGTAATGTACACCTACAAAAGGGAAAGTGCAAAATGAAGAAGCGTGTTATGGATAAGGAAAACATATATAATTGTATTACAGATTCTCTACTTATAATACGATCGAGTATATACTTTCAAAGTTACGTTTCTTTATTGGTATATATCTAACTATTTTGGAATGTAAGCGGTTGTGGTGAAGCTACATGTAGCGAAGTGATGGAATCATGTTGGTGTTACGGGGTTATAGTCCTTCCCAATTTTCAAAAATGGGTAAAATTATATGCAAGTTCTGTAACAAAAATTATATACATAGTTGATAATAGCTTAGTCCCCTTTCCAATTATCACAATACAAATTCATTGTGACTTGTGAGTAGATTTTTTAACTTTCTCGTTCAGATCTCTGGTTTTATCATTGTTATAGTGGAGGGTGGGTTGTAACTTCTTAAGATTCTAGGTTATATACAATGTGGTAAGCTGTGTAGACTAGGTAGGTAGGTGGATACCACTGTGAATGTATGTGTGTGTATGGGCTGGGTGCATGATCAATGACATATGCCATGGTCGAGTCATTTATTACCAAAGCATATGTAATTAATATATATATATATATGATGCAATAACATACACATCTATATATAGGGAAAAGCTTTAGGTGGTCCAAAGCAATAGCCAATTTCCGAGAAATACACAAAAATGTTCAATTTCGTCCAAAACTTTAACGGAGTCATTTTAGATGCTAACTTGACTAGCATTTTTGCTTATTTGGTGACATTTAATAAAAAAACATTGCACGGTGGAATGAACTAAATTCACTTTCATAGCCATAACTATCGACTTTGTGACAATAATAACCAATTTATGATAAATCTATAAAATTTCTAAATTTCGGAAACATGTTTGACAAACTTAGCCACTTCCCTTAAAAATTTTAATGTCATTAGAGTTGTTGTCAGTTACACTAACAAAAGGCTAATTAGGATGACAATTGTGGCCTAACCTAACACACCCTTATGTTCATACTAAAGCTCAGATGTACAATTGTGATTTAACGACCCAATGAATGACTTGCCAAACGGACAACTTTATTAGGTAGCATGCATGTTATACTCTTTTATTACATCTTTTGCTCTGGCCTTCTTAATTAGAAGGAAATAATTAAGAGTGAGACACCACCATGTATTAGATGTTGTATATATGTTTCATGTGAGTGGATAAGCTTTGTGTAGTTAGGTGGGTGGATACAACGTAACTGTGAATGTGTATGTATGGGCTGGTTGCATGATCAATGACATGCAACTGTCTAAGGACCACCATATTAAAGCATATCCAATATTTGATGTGCGTAACAATAACATATTAAATAATTTATTATTATAATTATATATAAACCTCAATATCATTTACTGCTCACTAAAAGCGTTGTTGGCCCGTTGATATGCGGCGAGCGGCTAATATATCGTAGTTGGGATTTAAAAACAAGTTGATACTGCATTTGCATTTGATATTTTTATTGTTAATTACATGCTAGTGGATTCAAATCGTTGTTTATGAAATCATGGCGGTCTGGTACCATTTACTGTTCACTAAGGGCGTCGTTGGCCCGTTGATATGCGGCGGTAATCACAAATATGTATTTATGTTTTTTTTGGGTTTAGTGTAGGGCGGTTAATATATCGTAGTTGGGGATTTACAAACAAGTTGAAACTGCATTTGCATTTGATATTTTATTCTTACAAGCTAATGGATTCTAATCATGGTTTGTGAAATAATGTCCGTCTGATACCATATCAATAACATTTGGTTCTAATAATTTATGTTGTTGAGAAATATTCAATTCTGAATCTTTATCTAACTAGTACTTTGGTTATGATGATGTTAGATTATACATGTTAAAAATGTAATAATAGATCGAAAAATGATGACGATTCTGATTTATCTTATGTGTTTTCCTTACATTGTTCTATTTAATAATCATGGTGAATTCTGAACGAAGAGTGTTCGTCTTCACAATGGACAATATTAGTCTTCTCCCCATGCACATCCTCCTCTTTCTTGAAAACTCCTGACTAGATTGTAATTTTGATGCATTCTCCTCGCGTGCTTCACCACTTAAGAATGACAATAGATCCGAAACTAAAGAATTTATTGCCCGTCTCTATTTTCCTACCATAAAATTATGTTTTCAACCCATTAACTCTTCTATTTTTGCAAACGAACTTCTCTACTTATTAAGAACTACGATGAGACTCTATATAAGAGTGTTTATCTTCACAATGTTGTTATATAGTCTTTACTATTGGGATCACATCCTCCTTTCGAGGAAAATGTTTTTACATGGGTGTTCTCCTTACATGCTACTAGTCAATCTGTGAACAATTGTAGATCATAACATAAAAAAAAAAAAAAAAAGGAAGCGCTTATGTGATTGCTCTATTATTTATTTCAACAATCCATAAATTCATTCAATTACATATAATCTAAAGGTCTAACACAACCAATTAACAAATGAGCATGTAAACAATGATGTAAAACTCATCCACAACGAGGGTGACATGACACAAACATGCACTTTCTAGTATATTCATATAAGAGTAGAAGTATAAGATCGATGGTACGAAGCAAAAGCAATGGTAATGCGGTTGCTGTACTCAATATTTATGTCCCATGCATGGCCCCTTTTTTTACAGCAGATTTTACGTACAACACAGTCAGAAAGATACACATGCACGGCCCGGGCATGACACTTGGGTGGTCTTTAATTAGTACGTACCTGTGTTTTCCCATATATGGTTAAGGCTTGATCCATTTCTTTACATTGCCCAGCAAATTTATAGCACAACGGGAGAATTGAAGAGTATACCAAAACTAGCAGGGCAGCAGGAACAAAGTCGTGTTGGACTCTTTTTTAGGAGAGAAATTGAACTGGGCCGAAGTTATATCATTTTCCATATATATATATATATATATATATGGGAGTTCTACGGTACCCGGGTGAAATCCAAGGTACCGCATACCTTGAGTAAGAAAACGCTATCAAGAACTTGAATTGACAAATCTTTCGGACATGATACTATACTCTAACCCTTTAAGATCAACATCTAGGTCTTAATTCTCTAAATCTTATACCCCAAGATCAATTTAATTAGAAACAGTAATCGACAGTTATGATTCATCCAAATATAGGCAAAAAAAATCAATGCACCATCTTAGGGTTTATAGTTTATGATTTAGATAATAGGACCTAGGGTTCACTCATTAAGGGTTAGGTTATAGTATCATGCCCAAAAATCCTGCTAATTCGAGGTCTAGATAGCGTTTTCATACTCAAGGTATGCGGTACCCCGGATTTCACCGGGGTACCGTAGAAGGCACCATATATATATATACAACAAATTTTGCAATTTAATGAGTAGCATTAGTCTAATATGATGATATAACACAGAATCACAACTAATCAACCCATTACCCTAACCTATTAACCTTCAATTTTGAATCTCAACCCAAAATCCCAAATTGTAAACTCTAACCCTAAATTCCTAAACCCTGAATCATTCAAACTAAAGTGAATCTTGAATGATTTTTGTACAAATTCATGTTGTTCTTGTTCGTCATACCACAAGTGATGGTTGATATCGTTTTCACATGAATCGCCTGCTCAGAATAACGATTATGAGGCGGGTGCATTGAATGCACTCACTTTTTAGATTAATCATCACCATCGAATAGATCTAACGACTAAAATTATTTGACGAACAAATATTTAAATAATAACAAATAATTTATTCCTTATTTAATTTTAAAGTACAAATTTATTAATAATTGCAATTAGACCCCTGATTCATTTAACATGATAAACCCCAAATCTGTTTATTCCTTTCCACTAGACACTTTCTTTATTTCCACCAGAATCGTATCGGCCTCCCGCTTTCAGCAAAAGAAGAAGATCGGCTGTAAAAAAAAAAAAAAAAAAAACGGAGATCGCCGCTCAATCTCAGTCCGACCAGGACCCCGAACCCAGCATGAGAATGTTATTCTAGGTGTCTCGGACCCAGCAAACCACGTACAAACCTGGGCTAGGTGGAGACTAATGGATTCAATTAGTAGCCGGAAGTTACGGTGTGGCCACCGGCGACGGGCGACGGCAATTGGTGGGAACTCACCGTGAAACTGGAGACACGAATCAAGGATCGGAATAGGCAAGAATACCGAAATGAACTTACCAGGCAACTCGAGAAGTACTCCAGATTGAAAGGAACTGGATTTAGGTCTTGTGTTGTGGAATTGTGTGCTCTGTTTTTTAGGTCATACACGCAGGGGAAGGATTCGGATCAAAAAAGGAAGATCCAAGAGGGATTAGAGTTTTTTCGTTAGTGTTTATTTGATCAACCGGGAGACTCGGGCGTCGGAGAGCAGGGCAGAAGCTTCGACGGAGGCGGGAATTTGAACTTACTGGTTTTGTCATTAAATTTTTTGTGGACCAATGCTTTATTTTTTGGGTTCTCATTTTTAAGTACAGATTGCCATGGAACTTGAGAACTTGACTCTCGTGCAGTAGATTTGAATGTATTACAAATGGTTCATTTGAATGGGCTGTTAAGGTATTTGTGCATCTAGCATTACCATTCATGATTTTGGATTTTTAGTGGTATTTTAAGTGATGTGATTTTCCAGAAGCAGGTGATAATATATGAATATGTTAACACCTCTGCAGTTGGAAACCTTGTTGACTCAGGGGCATACGTCATGATACAACAGCCAGTTCTGAAATTGGGGATTACAAATAATGAATTTAGCTTTACAAGCAACGACGATACAAGCGACAGCCGGATTGGTGCGCTGGGAAGGATCAGTTGCGACGGACGACGATGCCAGGCCACTGGACAAGAATCGGCATCGGGAAGAAGAAATACTGACGGTGGAAGACTTTTGTTGCCGGAAGAAACGGGGGAATTTGATGGCGATTGGAAAGCTGGACGATGGCCACTGGGAAGAATAGGAATCGACGCTTGACCATGATTGCTTGTCTCTGTTGGTGTGAGGAAGAACTGAAGAAGTCTTTTTTGGTGTGAAGAAGAAGGACGAGAGGGGAAAGAATCGGAAGAAGAGGGTTAGAGTTAGGGGCT